TGCCCTAGCACCTTCCCAGTTTGTTCTTTTTGTAGTTATCCAGGAGGTTCAAAAACAATGTTAATAGAAACCCCAAAATTGGAGAAATAAGCTCCATCTAGTGGCCATAATGCAATATTTTGCTGATTCAAGCTATTCTTAAGAATGAAGAATCTTCGACCCAGAGAGAAAATAGCCTAGTAACATTCACTTTTGCAGACATTTGCACAGAACGAATGTACATGCAGTTTCACAAGATGATGAACTCAAATGTTTTTATAAATACACCCCACAGTCTTACCGCCATTTAATCAGTCATAGCAACTATGCAAGTCATATGTGGTCAGGTTACAAAGGGATGTGGTGTTAATCCTCACTGAATATTTATTTATTTCAGGTACTTATATAGCGCCATCAATTTATGCAGCGCTTTACACATATATATTGTACATTCACATCAGTCCGTAACCCTCAAGGGGTGTACAATCTAAGGTCCCTAACTTATATTCATATACATACTAGGGCCAATTTAGACAGGATCCAATTCACCTACCAGCATGTCTTTGGTGTGTGGGAGGAAACCAGAATATCTGGAGGAAACCCACGCAGGCACAGGGAAAACATGCACACTCCAGGCAGGTGGTGCCGTGGCTGGATTCAAACCAACGACCCTAGTACTGCCAGGCGGAAGTGCTAACCATTTAGCCACTGTGCTGCCCAATAATTGTCCATAATTAATTCATTTTCGTTTCTTTTACAAAAAGCAGTGCATGCTCAAGCATCTTGCCATATTTTCTGATGCAGGTTGCAGAAGAAATACAGCTCTGGCTCATTTGTGTTGTTCACGGGGTTATAAATAAATAATCCTTTTATTTCTGTTTATGCTTTTTAATGCACAGATGACAGCGCAGTTCAGGGCTGCCTTGTCTCCTGCATTATGTGGTCAGCTGTGTCTCTGTAAACCTGGCTAGAGCAGAACACAGAGATGAATAACGACTGTTGTATTAGCACACCTGTGCTCAGAACACAGCTGTTCCGTTCACAACAGGGTTGCTGTTTGCAGTTGCGAAACATTTTCACACCCGCCACCCACTCACTGATTCTTTAAAACATTTATTGGCTCTCAATCTCAAGGACCGGCCTGCATTTCTCTCTATAAAGCACATATCAGTGGATTATCTCATAAAATCAAACTAATCTTACATACAACTCTCCTGCAAATCTTGCCTTTGCTTTGATAACAGGAGAAAAACCCTGAATGCCTGTGATGTGTTCTCTTTTTTTGTAGTAGGGCATTGCTGCCAACAGTCTGTGAATGTCAGGCACTGTCTCTAGTCTTCAAAATGTAAATTGTTACAGCTAAACTTCAGGTAGAAAATGCCAATGAATACTGTTATGTGTTCATTTGTAAAAAAAAATAATAATAATAATACAGCAGCTAGTTTATCATTGTTATGTAATTCCAAACAAGATGGGCACCCTTAGTAGGTAAATGCTTGAAATCCAGCTAAAAGGGCAACCAAGAGCCATTCAGTGATCCACTTTATGGGGTCGATCAGACAGCAGTGAAATGCCAAACAACAGGCAGGAAGAAGCAGATGTGACGTCAGTGAGATGGGTGGGCTTCTACGCGTTTCAGAGGCTTGACAAAGAGTCATAAACTGTACCCACTGGCACATTAGCTTTCTTTGCAATGGAAAGACCTACACTATTAAGGGCCATAATAGTCTCTCTGTATTCCTTTGTTGTGTAAAAAATGGGAGTCAGCGCTCAGTGGAAAATAAAAGCAGCTTGCAGCGAGGTCAATATGCAAAACCCTCCAATATAAATAAATAAATAAATATAAAGGGCAGCACCTGTAACAATACAATACTACCAAAAATATTCCACATGATAAATCAAGAAATGCAAATTAATCAAAATAAAGTGCAATTCATCTATTAAATGTAAAAAAAATGTGCAATGCATCAATAGAAAAATCTAATTCCTCAATTACAATGGGATAAAGTCCATTCCTCTGTGTATAAATAGTGATAGAGGAGAAAAAAAAATCACCAGTCATCATAAAAAATAAAGTGCATCAACTTTCCACCACTATTATGAGGACCACCTTGCAAATACCATCACCAACACTCCGCACTCACCAAAAAGTATGGCTGCATAAATAATTTATTTATATTATGCTGCATCAATTTTACTACACCATGAGAGATTTGTCTGGCTCCGGTTTGTGAGCATTTACTCCACACAGCTGCAGTACTTACCTCTCTGCTTTGGATGGTGATGTCACAAGTGTTACAGCCAATGAAATGTCATCTTTAAGGAACCACACCCAAAAAAGAAGTAGAGTTTTGCCTGGGCATACAAAAAAGTGCTTTTGTTGCTATTGTTTATGCAGCCATATTCTTTGGTGAGTGTGGAGTGTTGGTGGTGGTATTTGAACGGTCGATATCACGGAGTTGTTCGTTGGTCCATATAAGGCCTCATGCACATAGGATGTTAAAAAAACTCTCCTAAAAGCTGTCCTCCTGACAGCAGCGTTTTTGCTGAAAAAACATCTGACGCTTGTAAAAGGGTCTAACACTTTTACAAGAGTTTAGGCATGTTTACAAGTATCAAGCTCTTGGGCGTTAATTAATTTAATTGGGAGTTAATTTATTCTGGCTGTTGAGTTGAATTAACGCTCAAGCGCTAAACGCGCCTAGCGTTTAGACGCATTTAGGTGCATCAAGCATTTTTTCTGCCAAAACGCTGCTGCTCCTTGACCCACTGGCCCTGGGGTTTTTTTCCTGCTGGTAAATGCTACTGCTACTAAAAGCTTCTAAAAGTCTATGTGTGCATGGACACATAAGATAACATAGAGAAGCAGTAAAAAAAATGCCTGACGTCCCTAAGGTCCAGTTCGCACTACAAAATTCACTCCAGATGCATTCCGGATATGTTTTTGCTTACAGTTCACACCACATGCAGTTCCGATGCAGTCTGCCATGTTCCAGTATGGTTCTGTGCAGCTAGTTTTTTTTCTGCACTGGGAAACTGACTGGAGCTGACTGCACTGGTGTGAACTTGGGCCATTGGAATACATGGAAAACACTGTGCTTGCATTTTTGATGCAGAAAAAAAGTGCACTGAACTGCATCTAGTGTGAACTAGCCCTAATAGTGGCTGCAAAAACACTGTGTGGATGAGGCCTTATAGTGGTGAAAAGCTGATGCACTTTATTTTTTTATGAACTGGTGAATATTTTGTCTTCTATCATTATTTATGCATGGAAAAATGGACTTTATAACAATGCAATTGAGGAATTGGATTTTTTAAAGATGAATTGCACATTTTTTACATTTAAGAGATGAACTGAGATGAATTGTGATTCATGTGCATGTATTGATTTATCATTTGGAATATTCTAGTATTTCGTTGGTATTATTGTATTGTTACAGGTGCTGCACGTTATATTTTTTAATTCCTTTGTTAACTGCCTTTTTCTTATCATTTTGAGAGCAATATACTATTATCTACAGTACAACACCCTCAAAATGTTGCTTAAGAGGATGTAGTAACACAGTCTGTTTCAACAATGCTTTTACAGTATACAGATAGACAGACAGCTTGAAAGAAATCAACAAATGTTGGGACACCTGTAGAAATTGTTAGCATAAACTTTCAAGGCTTAATTTACCTACATTGCTGCAGAACAGCTGTGATTTGTTAACCCATTACTTCTTCCTTGAAAAAAGGTCTTTTTGTATAACTCTGAAATATACACTATATTGCCAAAAGTGTTGGGACACCTGCCTTTACACGCACATGAACTTTAATGGCATCCCAGTCTTAGTCTGTAGGGTTCAGTATTGAGTTGGCCCACCCTTTGCAGCTATAACAACTTCAACTCTTCTGGGAAGGCTGTACACAAGGTTTAGGAGTGTGTCTATGGGAATGTTTGACCATTCTTCCAGAAGCGCATTTGTGAGGTCAGGTACTGATGTTGGATGAGAAGGCGTGGCTCGCAGTCTTCGCTCTAATTCATCCCAAAGGTGTGCCTCTGTGCAGGCCAGTCAAGTTCAGTCAAGTTCAGTCAAGTTCCTCCACCCCAAACTCACTCATCCATGGACCTTGCTTTGTGCAGTGGTCCAGTCATGTTGGAACAAGAAAGGGCCATCCCCAAACTGTTCCCACAAAGTTGGGAACTTGAAATTGTGCAAAATGTCTTGGTATACTGACGCCTTAAGAGTTCCCTTCACTGGAACTAAAGGGCCAAGCCCAACCCCTGAAATACATCCCCACACCATAATCCTGCCTCCACCAAACTTCATACTTGGTGCAATACAGTCTGGCAAGTACCATTCTCCTGGCAACCACCAAACTCAGACACATCCATCAGATTGCCAGACAGAGGAGTGTGATTCATCACTTCAGAGAACACGTCACCACTGCTCTAGAGTTCAGGAGCGGCGTGGTATACACCACTGCATCCAACACTTTGCATTGTACTTGGTGGTGTAAAGCTTTAATGCAACTGCCCGGCCATGGAAACCCATTCCATGAAGCTCTCTATGCACTGTTGCTGTGCTCATCTGAAGGCCACATAAAGTTTGGAGGTCTTTAGCTATTGACTATTGGGGAGCATGAAATTGTCCAACATGTCTTGGCATGCTGACGCCTTAAGAGTTTGCTTCACTGGAACTATGGGGCCAAGCCCAACCCTGAAAAGACAACCCCACAACCGAATCCCCCCTCCACTAAACATTGCACTTGGCACAATACAGTCAGGCAAGTACCATTCTCAGACACATGCATCAGATTGCCAGAGAAGTGGGATTCGTCACTCCAGAGAACACATCTCCACTGCTCTAGAGTTCAGTAGCGGCTTGGTTTACACCACTGCATCCGACACTTTGCATTGTACTTGGTGGTGTAAAGCTTTGATGCAGCTGCTCGGCCATGGAAACCCATTCCATGAAGCTCTCTATGCACTGTTGCTGTGCTCATCTGAAGGCCACATAAAGTTTGGAAGTCTTTAGCTATTGACTCTGCAGACATTTGGAGACTTATGCGCTGACTCATTTTATGTGGCCTACCACTTCATGGCTGAGTTGCTGTTGTTCCCAGCTGCTTCCACTTTGTTGTAGTACCACTAACAGTTGACCGTGGAATATTTGGTAGCAAGGAAATTTCACAGATGGACTTATTGCACAAGTGGCAACCTACAGTATCACAGTATCACGCTTGAATTTACTGAGTTGAGAGCGATATTTAGTAGAGAGGAAATTTCACAGATTGATGCAACCTATCAAGGTACCACACTTGAATTCACTGAGCTCCTGAGAGTGACCCATTCTTTCACAACATTTTTGTAGAAACAGTCTGTATGCCTAGGTGCTTGATTTTATAAATCTGTGGCCAAGGAGGTGATTAGAACACCTGAATCCAATGATTTGGAGGGGTGTCTCAATACTTTTGGCAATATAATGTATGTTTATTTTTCACTTTTTGTTGATCTGAACCTTTTTTCTTTCACCTCTGGCGGTTTACCACTTACCTTTGTACCATTTCAGGTTATTCATTAGACTTGAACTGTTATTTCAATAAAACTGGAAAAATGGAGGTGTTCTTAAACCTAAACTGAAAAGGTTTGTCAAACTGTGCTGAACACCAGAATCTTTTTGACTGAAGGCTTTGTTCCAGGCACATGCTTCACTCCAAGAGGGTGTTGTTTCACCTTTGATGCCTGTGCTCCAGTTATTTTTTCTTCCTCTGTATTTGGTTTGCCTCTGGTCTCTGATTTGGACTTCTGGATATTGGGGCCACAAATCTCTCTTCTGTGGGTTACTACCATGATTTTGAATGTATAGACACCCTACTGGAAACATCAAATTTCTGATGAAGTGAATGAAACGTTATGAGATTATGTTCCTCACTTTTTGTATTACTGGATGAAATGTGCATTATATAATCCTTTTGAAGCAATGTGACCAAACATGTATACCTTCTTCTGGTGTAATTTTGTGCTTTTAATCCTTTTATTCTGCTGTTTGTAATATAGTATTGGTTTTGTATATTTTATATATTAGTGCATTGGTGTATATGTTGGTGTATTGTGACTTCCTTAAAAATCCGAGGGGCAGTTTTTTTGTGCTTCTTTCAAGTAAGACTTGGGATGGAGGCATTTGAACCTTTGTGGAAGTTGACATTTTCTTATGTTAATATTCGGGGACTTGCTTGCTGAGTGCTCTTTCTTCCTGGTGCTGACTGTGCCGGAAGCCTGTTTGGCTTAGTACAGAATCCTGAAGCTGACTTGCTTCATCGTGGAAGACACAGCATCAAAGGTGAAGAGGCTTCTGGAGCGGGGGATGAGAGGAAGGATGTTTGACTGCTTGACTGAGAGGTTCTAAACACAGAGTTTCCCGTGTTAACCTGACAGTAGTACTTTGCCTTATATAATGACCCTTTCTTTTGGTTGACTGTTACAACAAATTTTCAACCCATCCTGTTACTGGGGGTTCTCTTTTCCACTGGGGAGGGGGTGGGGGGTCACTACTTCAGTCATTGATCTGGAACAAGTATGCTGATCAAGAGTCCACACCACTCCTATACTATCTGCATTTATTGATCAGGCTTGATGACTCAGAGACTCAGAAGTGTTAAAGTGGTATTAAAGGCTCAAGGTTTTTCACATTCATGTATTCTGTGCATGAAGGTAAAAAACCTTCTGTGTGCGGCACCCCCAATCCTTACCTGAGACCCCCCCCCCCCCCCCCCCCCGATCCAGTGACATTCTCAACAGCCTCTGCCGTCTGGGGACTTTTCCTCATTGGCTGATACAGCAGCCAGAACGCATTGGTTTCAACTGCTGTCAATCACAGCTAGTGAGCCAATGAGGAGAGAATGAGGAGAGAGCTGGGGGGGGGGGGGTGGCGATGGGCCGAGCTGTGATTCTATGTGTCATATGGACACATAGAGCAGTGGGACAAGCATGCAGCAGTGCCCCCAGTAAGGGAGAGGAGCCAGGAGCGCCGACAGGGGACTTGAAAAGAAGAGGATTGGAGCTGCTTTGTGCAAAACCACTGCACAGAGCAGGTAAGTATGGACATGTTTGTTATTTGAAGCTTTAGTGTCACTTTAACTGCAGCTTAGAAATGCTCAATCCAGAGATAACCAGGCAACTAGAATTTTCAAAAAGAGATTAGTAATGACAGTCTAAATATACTGCACTAGTTTCCTTTTAAGGACAGCCTGGGGTCATTGGGAATTGCACCAAAAGCTTGATTAGTAACGTAGATCACAGACTATACACAGCTGCAAACCTAAAACAAAAGCAAATCTGCCACAGTAATGGGCACTGCACATTCAGCACAAAAGAGAAGGAAACTTCTATGTTCTGTTAGATAGAAAAGAGACACACACAGTGTTTGTGACTGTAAATATACCTGTTTGTTAGTATTACTGTACTGTACTGAGCTCACAATGAAATGAAAACACCTGAACCTCAGGAAAATAGCTAAATATACACATGTGAATTGTCTTATCTACCAAAAGAGTTGTAATTCTTGTGTTTCACATACCTCAGGCAGAGGCAGAAAAGTGACGTCACTATCTTTGTGAGAGTTAAAGGGCAAGTTCACTTTGGGATCCTTAGTAGAACAGCATTAGTCCACCCTCCCTTGACCCCTAGCCTAAACTAACCCAGAAACCCCCCACCCACCTGCTTTCTTACCTCATTGTAAAAACCATGGACTGTTTACATCCTTCATGCTAAAATCTTGGTGATGTGAGTCCTCACAGTTATATGGACATACTCTGAGATTAGAGACGGTTGGAGAATGACCCCATTCAAGTCTGTGCTTCTATCACTATACTGGAGGTGATACACAGAGGAGGCCATAAAGGTCAAAAACAGTTGGGGTGGGGGGTCTGGGGTCTTAACGTTTAGGTTAAGGAGCTAGGGTGGTGTGATGTAGTTTATATCAAAAGTAAAGTTGTCCTTCAAAGTACATGCAAACCCTTACTACCTGACATAAACAATTACCATGTTTTTTTCTTTTCTCAGCACTCTCGTTCATATGAATGGCTCAATAGACCATTCAGTTGTTCAGTGCCCTGTACCATGTGTAAATTTTCATAGAGGAAATAAAATCATTGTCCCCCTTTGCTCAAGGTAGGGGATTCTTTCCCCCCTCTCAGAATTTCCCTGAGGATAACGGTCCCCTTATTTATACCAAGGGGGTTGCATAGCTCTCAATTGTTCATCACCTGGAAGCACTGTCCAGCTTTTAGAACCAAAGCCCTTTTTTTTCTTTTTTTATCAGTTTTGCCATTTTGTCGTCTGATGTATAGACTTTATAAAATCTATTATTTAACTATTAAAGTCTTCTACTGCATCAAACTTTTCATCCAGACTCTGAATGATTTTTTTTTTCGTAAAGCCAGTGTAAAGAAAAAGCCAGTGTAAATGAAATGTAGTCATACTTATAGGTTTTACTATTTATTTTTAGCATATAAAATCTTTGTGTTCTGTGAAACTAGAGCGAGGCACAGATGTGTCTTTTACCTACACACTTTTTGCTAAAAGGTGTCCCTCCTTCTCATCTCAAAAAGTTGGGAGGTATGGGCTGTGAGAAGGGACAATAATGTAATACCTTTATACTAGCGTCCACCTCGGCCAGGCAAGCTCAACCCATGTCCCGTGTGCCAAATATGGCCCACAGAGCCATCTTATGTGGCCCACAATCTCAAACCTATGGAAACTTGCACAGACTCCTTTGGGTGCATGCTGCTCTGCTGAATGATATGATACACTTTGAAGGACAACTTTACTTTTGATATAAACTACATCACACCACCCTAGCTCCTTAACCTAAACGTTAAGACCCCAGACCCCCCACCCCAACTGTTTTTGACCTTTATGGCCTCCTCTGTGTATCACCTCATTCATATCTGTGTATCTGCCTGTCCTCCATAATCGCAGCGGCTGTCTTTTTTTTTTTTTTTTTTTTAAATATTTATTGATTTTTCAGTTAAATACATATTTCCATCATTATCACATAAGAAAAAAATACAAAAATCATTTCTTGTTTACACTTTCTAAACCTATTTCCCAATCCCTCCCCCTCCCCGTCTACCTTCTCTGTATTCTCTACAGATCTTCCTACTAAGGCGAGTAGAGTTTGATCTTCATTTCTCCTTATAGTTTCCTATACTTCGTATTCAATCCAGCTTTTTCCCATTTTTCCCATTTCATATGGTAAACCTCCATCTTATCTTCCTGCATGTGATAAAGTTTTTCCATCTTTCTAATCTGATTCACTCTATCTACCCAGTCTTCCTCTCTCTGCACCTCTGCTTTCCGCCAGAACTTGGGTATCAAACCTTTTGCAGCATTAAGATAGTACCATATACCTGATTCCTTATATTTATTCACTGTAAAGTCTGTACTGTGCAGGAGACATATTTCTGGGTCCAACCTAACATCGATTTCAGTTATCGTTCCTATTAAATAAATTATTATCTTCCAGAATACGTGGATTTTTGGGCACTCCCACCATATATGGTACACTGTTCCTAAAAAGCAGTGGCTGTCATACACAAGCCAGTATTGAGGCCAGCTCCCCACTCTTCTCTTTTCATCCTAGCACACAAACACGGGAGAGGATCCTTTAGCCAAGTGGATTACATCTAATGGCATCCATACAGGGGTTCTGAAGGTGGATTCTCACAGCTGTGTGATGATCTTGGTGTAATTTCAGGAGCATGTGAATGCATTATGTGTCATTTTATCTTTGCTTAATAAAGAAGTTTATTGCACTAATAGGGCAAGAGCTTCCCTGGTCTGTTGTTTTTTTGTTTAGATGGTCCAGAGTCAATTCAAGGGATGGATGCAAAGACGATGATATACAGTAGTGAAGGCTGCAGCATTGGTTCTGTGGTTCTGAGCTTTTTTTGGCTGGTCACAGCTGATTATGGGAGTGGGATTAAAAGTGATCTGGTTAATAAAATGTGACTTTTGTGATTGTGAATAAACAGTGGGTAGACATCCAACAGGGATTTATCCCACTGAAAAGGATGATCCTGTTTGCTGATTAAAATCTTTATTATGCTATTCAAAATAAAAATGTCAAAATTCTGAACATTCATGTCATTTCATTGTTGCTCGCAACCAGTTACCAAATCACTTAAGTGGCCCGCACTCTTCAAAAGGTTGAGCACCCCTGATTTAAGCAGAATTATAAAGACTGTAGGAAAGAAAAGAGTGTCTGTCTTCCACAAGCACGTACACACTTTCCCCAATGTATTAAAAACACCAGGGTCCATGAATGAAAACTGGAGCCAAGAAAAAAATATTGATTTGGCTCAAAGAAACCAGAATTTAGATTTCATGTTCTCCTCTGAACTAGCAAATTCACAGCTGGAACTTATTTGGTTGCTATGAGCAACACGTTTCCTCGCTATTGTCATTGAGCAGCTGCATGCTCCACTAC